TGAGGAAACGCCATACTGTTCTACACAGTGGCTACACCCAGTCTGCATTCCCACCAGCAGTGCACGAGGGTTCCTTTTTCTCTGCATCCTCGCCAGCACTTGTCATTTGTTGATTTGTTGATGATAGCCTTTCTAACAGGTGTGAGATGGTACCTCATTGTTGTTTTGATTTGCATCTCTCGGGTGATTAGTGATTTTGAGCATGTTTTCATATGTCTTTTGCCTTTTGTATGTCCACTTTCAAAAAGTTTCTATTTAGGTCCGTTGCCCATTTTTTTTTGATTGGGTTGTTTATCTTTCCTTTGTTAAGTTGTATGAGTTCCCTGTAAATGTTGAAGATTAAACCCTTATCGGTGATAACATTGGAAAATATGTTCTCCCATGCACTGGGTTTTCTTGTTGTTTTGTTGATGATTTCTTCTGCTCTACAGAAGCTTTTTATTTTGATTTAGTCCCATTTGTTTATTTTCTCTTTAGTTTCCATTGCCTTAGGAGCTATATCAGTAAAGATATTTCTACGACATATGTCTGCTATTTTGCTGCCTATGGCTTCTAAGTTTTTTATGGTTTTCCATCTTACGTTTAAGTCCTTTATCCATTTTGAGTTTATTTTTGTATATGGTATAAGTTGGTGTCTAGTTTCATTTTTTTTGCATGTATCCAATTTTATTTTATTTTTTTTAAGAATTTTTGAGTTTATTTGAGCCAAACTGTCGACATATGACAGGAAGCAGAACCTCAGCGAATTGAGATAATTGCATGTATCCAATTTTCGCAACACCGTTTATTGAAGAGATTGTCTTGACTCCATTGTATGCTCTTGCCTCCTTTGTCAAATATTAACTGAGCATAATGGTTTGGGTCGATTTCTGGGCTCTCTATTCCATTGGTCTATTTGTCTGTTCTTGTGCCAGTACCAGGCAGTTTTGAGAACCGTGGCTTTGTAATATAGCTTGATATCTGGTATTGTGAGCCCTCCAACATTACTCTTCTTTCTCAGGATTGCTACAGCTATTTGAGGTCTTTTTTTACTCCAGATGAATTTTTGGTGAGTTTGTTCTAGGTCTTTGAAATATGCCGTTGGTATTTTAATGCGGAGTGCATTGAATCTGTAGATTGCTTTGGGTAGTATGGACATTTTAATGATGTTCATTCTACCAGTCCATGAACATGGTATATTCTTACATTTGTTTATGTCTTCCGCTATCTCTTTTTTCAGCATCCTGTAATTTTCTGATTACAGGTCCTTTACCTCCTTGGTTAAATTTATTCCTAGGTACCTTAACTTTTTGTTGCAATGGTAAATGGAATTGTTTTTTTAGTTTCTCTTCCTATGAGTTCATTATCCATGTATATAAAAAGTCAGGGGCCATCATGACCGAAACAACCGGACAGACGACTGTACAGCAGGCTACGTGGGGCGACCAGGTTGGGGGGGGGCAGTTGGGGGCAATCATGCCAGCCGTGGGGGCAGTGAGGGGCAACTAGACCAGGAATGGGGGGCAGTTGTGGGTGATCAGGCTGGCAGGCAGAGGCAGTTAGGGGCGACCAGGCCAGCAGGGGGGCAGTAGGGGCAATTAGGCAGGCAGGCAAAGTGAGCGGTTGTGAGAGGGATGTCTGATTGCCGGTTTAGGCCCGATCCCGAAGGGATTGGAGAGGGGGCCGGGTGGGCACAGCTCCTGAATCTCAGAGGGAAGGCTGGAGTGGGTGGGTGGGACTAGCTCAGCCGGGGGCAAACTACGGCGCGCGGGCTGGATCCGGCCCGTTTGAAATGAATAAAACTAAAAATAAAAAAGACCGTATCCTTTTATGTAATGATGTTTACTTTGAATTTATATTAGTTCACACAAACACTCCATCCATGCTTTTGTTCCGGCCCTCCGGTCCAGTTTAAGAACCCATTGTGGCCCTCGAGTCAAAAAGTTTGCCCACCCCTGCTCTAGTCTATTCTATATAATAAAAGCCTAATATGCTAAGTGTCCTATTATTCGTTCGACCAGTCACTCACTACCAGGGGGCAAACGCTCCACCTGGTAGGTTAGCTTGCTGCAGGGGTCCGGCTGACTGGGACTGGGCAAGATGGGCCGGGCACGCCCTGGAGCCCTCCCCGAAGTCCCTCTCCAGCCCTGATTGTGCACCCGTGGGGTCTCTCAGCCTGGCCTGCACCCTCTGGCAATCCAGAACCCCTTGGGGGATTTCAGAGGTTTAGTCCGATCCCCACAGGCCAGGCTGAGTGGCCCCACCAGTGCACGAATCTGTGCCACCAGGCCTCTAGTCTTACCTAATAATAGACAAACATGCAAATTGACCATACCTTCGCTATGCCCCAAGCCACGCCCACCAGCCAGTCAGAGTGACTATATGCAAATTAACCCAACATGGTGGTTAATTTGCATACGCAAGTGTCAGGCGCCCCAGGAGGCGACAGCAGCCATGCCAGAGGGCTCCCAAGACCTTTGCAGGTCCGGGAGGTGAGGCCGTAGCCACTCCTGCGGGCTCCCAGGACCCTCCCCCTCCGCTGGCCC